CTGAGGATCATTGTCAGAAATGTAAAGATATCTTAAATGTGCCTATAGAAGAGATCCTTTCCTCTTGTACTGTTACTTATCCTCCAGAAAAAACAACCTTCTCACAAACACCAAGTAGATGAAACAAAGAGCAGACTTGCCACCACAGCCATTTTGAGTAGCAGTGTTAAGATCTGGTGTTCAGTGATGATCTAGCTATATCAGCAAAAGCTTTTTGCAGACAAAACACAAGTGCTTAATTTAATTCATCACCAGACATAACTGTCAGTATATGGTGATTTCTAGCAAACCTTCTGCAGACACTTACTATAGCAGACAGTCTTCCAGAAAGAAGGACCTCTGGGATGAGAAACAGGGACTGGGAATAACTTGTAATCCTGCTGAACCATGCAAATTTCCCTGGAAGCCTCTGGCAGGGCAGATACAGTGTGAAGCCTTCACAGCCTTCCTTCCGAATGCTATCCCACACTATTTTCATTCTCAAGTCAAAGAATTAACCTTGTGAAGGAAAGCTCAGCTTGGTTTTTATTGTCTTCCACTGCTTGCTTGAGGCAGAATATCATCAGAGCACCAAGAGATATACATCTCCCTTTCAGACTTTTTAACTTACTTGTTTGGCTGGAGGCCTTCTGTTCGTTAAATTTATTCTGTTCTTTTTCCATGTACAACCACATTAATTCTAGCAGCACATTTGTAAATCTAATCAAAAGAGAACTCCAGGCTTGCACAGTATCTTACTGATGCTACAAAACTGTAGGTATACATGGTGAACAAATCAACATCAGCTTAGTCCAAAGTCAATAGCCAGCTTTGCCAGCAAAAACAATCATCACGGAAGTAAACTTCATTTACTACTACTACTCAGGACACTCTTGAAGAGTCTAATGAACTACTCAGCATTCAAAGCTAAAGTCAGTATTCAAAACCTCACAGAAAGGTAGTGCCAAGGGCTAATGTTGCCTTTTTTCCCTGTTTCACACTGACAATATGGCCAACTGGATGCCATATGGACAATATGGATGCTGATCTCCTTGCTGAAGGGCAAAATAAGACAGTAACATTTTTTTCTCAGAGCAATACAACAGAATTTAATGACGCTCACTCTCATAATTTGGAATTACTTCCAGCACACGTAGAAATATACTGCCCTAAAGCCTATTACAAAGCTGCCATAAGGATGCTGTCCACCTTCAGATCTGTTGAATACTCATCACAATGATATCCACATAAACCAGCAGAAAGTAAAAGTGTTATTCCAAGACTAGTGCTTGAGAATAATAATGCACCATTGGCACATACAGCTCCCATGAGTACACAGAGTCCATTGGATTATGGTTTGACCAAATTCTAGTACATCATAGAATCATAGAATCATTAGGGTTGGAAAGGACCTTAAGACCATCCAGTTCCAACCCCCCTGCCATGGGCAGGGACACCTCACACTAAACCATCTCACCCAAGGCTTCGTCCAACCTGGCCTTGAACACTGCCAGGGATGGAGCATTCACAACCTCCCTGGGCAACCCATTCCCGTGCCTCACCACCCTCACAGGAAAGAATTTCTTCCTTATATCCAACCTAAACTTCCCCTGTTTTAAGTTTTAACCCGTTACCCCTTGTCCTATCACTACAGTCCCTAATGAAGAGTCCCTCCAAAGCATCCCTGCAGCCCCCCTTCAGATACTGGAAGGCTGCTATGAGGTCTCCACGCAGCCTTCTCTTCTCCAGGCTGAACAGCTCCAACTTCCTCAGCCTGTCTTCATACAGGAGGTGCTCCAGTCCACTGATCATCCTCGTGGCCCTCCTCTGGACTTGTTCCAACAGTTCCATGTCCTTCTTATGTTGAGGACACCAGAACTGCACACCATACTCCAGGTGAGGTCTCACAAGAGCAGAGTAGAGGGGCAGGATCACCTCCTTCAACCTGCTGGTCCAGCCCTTTCTTGCCATATAGGAACAAGCAGTCAATAATTTTTTCCAGAAGCTTCTTTATATCAACCTAACTGAATCATTTAAATGACGAGCGCCATCTAAGTGATGATCTAACCACCACGTTACTACTCCCCTCATGGTTATGTAGCAATTGCAGGCCAGCTTTTATGCAAACTTCATCACCCAGCTACCAAATCCTATCATAACAGTTAAAGAAAATCTTTCCACATGGGAAGTGTCTCTCTATTAATGCTCTGCAAAGCAATTGTAGAAGTGGGAAAGTAAGTAGATATGTGAGCAGATGGAAGTATGGGACAGTTGAAAGAAACACTGCTCTTCTCGGTAATCTACATGTAGAATTGAGATGGATGGAACATGTCAGAGAAAACATGTTCCCTATTGCAGACACTAAAGTCAGATTTCAGTGAAAACAAAACAAGCAAAGCAGAACCCAAACCCCTGAGGACACAGATGCACTGAACTACAGGACCTCCACCCAGGGGAAGAGACAGAGCAGGGTTGCTTAGGAGAGTCCAAAACAAGACAGCCAAGAGCCAAGAAAGGCACAAACAGTTCTGGAAAAGCTCTCTTCACTTCCCAAATAGGAACCAGTGCTCTGAACCAGCACTTTTGTTCCCTAGATACCCCTTAGGCCACATGGCCTGAGGGAAGCAAGCAAGCTCTCTGCACACAGGCCATTTAAAGCTGTAAAGGAGGGCTCCTGGTGACAACTGACCTCTTCTTTTTTACAGGGTACGTACAAATGCACAGCTCACAGCAACAATTCACCAATCCCCACACACAACATGAACCAGCTCATCGGCAACAGAAAAGCGCTCGCTTGTGGTGAGCAACATCGACCTGTCCCTCAGGGTCTCCACAGGGCAGGAGCGACAGACTGCAAGCGGTTCAATGGCTCCGTGCACTCTCCACAGCCAGTTACCCACAGCCCTGCCGCCTTCACTGCCCTAGGAGCGGGCTCCGTGTGCCGGGCTAGCCGCCCAGGCCTGCTCCCGCCTGCCCGCACAACAACCTGGGTGCTGCTGAGGCACCGGAGCCACCGGCGGCTCGGGCCCGGCCGTGGGGACCCGGCCGTGCTGCCATCACCGGCCTGCGAGGGAGGGCCAGGTCTGTGCGTTTGTTTGTTTCTCACCACAGGATGTGGCGCAAATGCTCCCGGTTCTGCTCCTCATGTGCACCTCTACACGTGCTTCCTGCCAGCTGCACAGCAGCTCTGTCCCGCTCCTGCGGTTCGTCAGCGGCGTTTCGACATCGGACACGGCTGCGAGGGGAGGGTGGAGGCTGTCTTACACTGAACAAGAATAAACTTGAGGGGGGAAAGAAAGGAGGAAAGTTGTGCGTGGAATTCTGTGAGGAAACGGCAGTGGTGTGACAGGACACGCTTTGGGAGGGATTTTGTGTGACACAGCAGCACAGACCATGTACAGCCTTGCCACGTTCATAAACTGCGAAGAAGTAAGATCAAGATCACAACACTTTCAAGCCATTCTCTGTATAGGGAGCTACTGTCTCAAGCAGAGCAGGCCCTGGAGTTCTTCAAAACACACTGGCCATGTATAGCTAAAGATTACGTTTACTTTGCCCAGAGGATGACAAGTAAAGAATATCTACTTGTACTTATGTGTCTGTGTTACTGATTAGCTCATCAAATTAGCCATCAAATTTGCTCCTGCAGGGGTGTTGACCTCAAGTTCATGATGAAATTTGTACCTTCAAGTACAAGGTCTTCCTCACAGCTTCAGTATTTGAAGTTTGGCCAAAACATGTCCTTAATGAGCTGGCTAGCTCTAAATAATTATTAGCGTCTGAAAATGTCTCCAGATTTCATACTCTCTTTTTTGGACATTTTTTCTTAATTATATTGCTGCTAAAATAAACCCAGTACCACAGACCCCCTCGGTCTCAGCCGTATGATCACTTGCATTATCTCTAGCAAACGTAGCTGTTTGATAGGAATCAGTGATCTCACTCCCTTATAGAACAGTGCTAGAAAAACAATATAGTTTTGTATAGTGCATAGCTGCACGGTTCTGTCACACATCTCTCACTCTGGAAAACTGCTCATTATGCCAGCTACAACACCACTATGCAACATTTAATTCTATCCCAAACTGCTGTTTCTCCCTCCACAGCTTTTTCTTCTACCGCTACTCTGCCTCCCATCAGCTAAACGTAAGTGGAATATGACAAGTGTTTACACAATCAGCACAAATCAGACCATTTCCGTATTGAGGACTTCCTCAACCCCTAGAGCCACTTGGCAAAGACCTCACTCCTGTAACTCCACCAGCCAGCTTGCTCAGGATCAAGAACATGGTTTTTCTCATGATTCTGCTGTTTTCCTACCGTAAGCCAAGGACATACTTCTTACATATTACAAATCTTTCTGAACAAGAACAAGCATTTCTTGACTGAAAGCTTTCTTCCCTTCTCTTAGTTCAAATGTCTCAGCAGATTCAGAAAACTATGGTAAACGGCAAAGGTAGGTTTTCTTTTTTTGGGGTTGAGATATGGGCTGAAATTAACTTAAAAAATACAGGGAGCAGGGGATTTTAAAATGTCCAAAACCTTCATGTAAAACATATTTTTCCCCTCTAGAAATGTCATAATTTATCTTATTCATGACTAGTTTATTATATTTTGTAATGAAAATACAACTTTTTATTACAAATTTATTTAATATCATAAAAGCAAACTAATTTGACAGACTGTCAAGGCTCTTGCTGCTACTATCCAAAAGTTCAATCTACTTACACAACGTTAATTCTGCCTGATACAGCCACATATAAAATACTGCTTTTACTTGTGGGTTCACATGCTACCTGTCAACTACCTCATAGGGTTACTTTCTCCTACAATTAACATCCCATAAAATTTATATTTATCTTTTATACTTGTATTACTTTAATTCCTTCTGTAGTTTGAAAGTATTTTTGTTGTTTCATCTGGATACATCTGTTGGCTTTGTATGCATATGCTCTCTCTTGCATGAAGACATGCACTTGTCATTATTTCTATTAGTCATCAAGTGTTTGAAGCTCTATATTGGTTTTGAAACATACAAAGCTGTGTTGCCTGCAATCAGAAGATGAAAAAGACCCTATAACCCCCTATTTCAACAGAAATTAGTATAGAGTGGTCTTCAACATATTTTGGGAAAAATCTGGGTTTCTTGGATGAATGGTGCAGTGAACTCACTCAGCAGTTTCTTCTTTCCAGAGATGCTGTCCAATCCCAGGCTCAAACCTCTTCAGGGGACTTTGAATGTAGAGATGAACCAGAACGTGACCCTCTCCTGCAACTCAGATTCTGGATCTCCACCTGTCAGATACACATTGTTTAAACGTAATCAGAAGGTATCCACCTTAAACAGGCCAGACCTGACCCCCAGTTTGTTTAACTTGACTATCAACTCTGCCAGTGATCTGGGTGAATACAAATGCAAAGCTGAGAATAACAACACCAGTGGCGGAAAATACAGCAACAGTCTCAGCTTCACCCTTCTAGGTATGTCTTGCTGTACTCCTTCTCAGCACATTTCATTTTAGGGGCACAGAGACATGGATGTGCAGCAGCAGGAGTCAGGGGTTTGCTTGCAACAGGTACTGTTTTAGACTGCAACGTGCGCCTGCCTTGACTGTAGAGCTGAACTTTACTGTAGATCGCTGTTACTGTCTTAGGAGTTGGCAGTGCTCTTCTCATCTGGCTCACCAAGATCCCCATCCTTCATACTCATCTAATTTGCCAATGTTGCTGCTTAACTCCAAGCCTTGCTTTGGAGCTTGTCCTATACTCAATGATGCAGCCTTTTCAGTTTTCTTTTTACAGAGCCCATTTCCAAACCAGTGCTGAGCTCACCCACCTCTCAAGCAAAGAAAGGCCAGAATGTGACCCTGTCTTGTCTCTCGGAGAATGGCTCTCTTCCTATCACGTACATATTCTTCAAAGGAACACAAAGCATCTCTTCCCAGGTGATGATGCACAAGGAAGCAGCTGAGATTGTTCTATTCATCAATTCCTCTAGTGACTTTGGAACCTATAAATGCAGAGCTGAAAATGGTTTTCGCAGAAATGCAAAATACAGCAATGGTTTCAACTTCACATTAGCAGGTAAGCCCGTGTGAAACCGTTTCCCACTGTCGGTAAACAGGGGCCACACAAAACTCAATGTTATAACACCGCAAGTTTATAGCCAGAAATTTTGTTCCTGCAATTTAGTGTTCAAAATACAGTTTTTTACATTTAAAAAGAAGTTTTTAAAGTGAATGCAAAAAGACAGAATTCCATGCAGCTGAGATAGCAGCAGAAGTTGAAGTGACCATTATGGATGACTGTAAAAGATTCACCTTTACAAGAACCTGCTGGCCTGCCCTGTGTAGAGTCCAGTTTCATTTTCTCTCTGGTCTTATGAAGAGTCCACTGGCACCAGCAAGGTCCTTTCCTTCTGCTATGGCAGTGTGCACTTGGGACTCTCCTGAGGATTAACCACAGTTAAATCCAAAAGCTGAAAGAAATGCAAAGTGTTGATTTTAATTTACAGAAAGCATAAACACCTTTTTATTTCTTTCTTTTTTGGCAGAAGAGAGAAGACTTTCTCAGCCCCTGATAATTTCTCTTGGGTTGATCGTGCTACTATTCGCAATAGGACTTGCTCTGGCAATTCCGTTTTTCATAATTCCTTCATATAAAGCAAGTGAGTTATTTAAATGTCTGTTTCATTTTCCAGAGGTGCTCGTTTATGTTGTCTATACATTTTAGTGTGTAACTATCATGTTACACGTGGAGTTAAGCTCTTGGTATTTTAAGATGTTGTCTTAACCAGCACAGGCAATGTAACAAGACACTGATAAGGCAAAACCTCTGAGCTATGTTCTAGATGGCAAGTCTGGGATGGGGGAAGCAAAACGACATCTAATTTAATACACATAAACTCATAAATTCACTGGAAGGAATTGACCTCATTGTTCTTAGTAGAAGAAGGAAATACTATTAAAATGCCCTTGGTTAAGGAGTAATTTTTATCACGAAAATAGCATTATCAGGAACCAAAAAATATCATGAGGCTGTTTATTTCCCCCCGAGAAACTCTGATATACATATATAGGCATGTGTTTGTTTTTCTTCTCCAATTTGCAGAAAAATTTAAGCCTACTAGACCCTCAACTGGCTTTACTTCAACACCAAATGTAGAAGAGCCTGAAGACGAGGTCATATACTCAGAGATCAGTAAGTTCATGTCACTCCCCAGCGGTCATGAAACTTGATTGTTGGAGTTCGGTAGAAGAATGCTGTTATGCTGTTTGTAGCTAGTATGAGCAAATTTCTTCAGATACTGCAAAAGCAGTGGAAGGAGACAACTACTACCACTTAGGGAGTGAGATAACTTTGCTGCTGACCCTGCCTGGCAGAGGCACAATTTGAAGTCACGAAGGATACGTATTGGCACTTCCTGTGTGTCAGCAATGCAGCCAAAACCACAACTGCTTAAACGAACTGAAGTTTTATATAAAAATCTACCATAAATAGAAGTAAAATGAAGAATTGCATTTGGCAACTCATGGTGAGGGTTCAAACAGCCATTACAGAGGAAAAGCAAACTAAAAGTAAGTAGGTCAGAGGTGCAGCGCCCATTTACTGAGATGACAGTGGCCTGTATGCAAGTTCTAGCAAAATAATATGTCTCCTGCATTCTGTTCAAAATTGCTCAGTGCACAATAATTCCCCATTCCATGTTTCTTAACTTTGACATGAGTCAGAGTTAGTTCAAACTGAAATGATGTAATGCCAGACAAAAAATCAACTGACTAATGTTAAGAGATTGTACTTCTTCAGTTGCAGAAAATACACAATAATGAAGACATTACATGAAAGCCACAATGGTATTAACTTACAGTTTTCTACACTTGAGTTCTATGTGAATGTCAGTATTTTCAAGGGAAAAAGAACCCCCCAAAAAACAGCAAAGGTATCATGCTTCCTGCTTCTAAGTATCAGAAAGGAAATCATTCTCACCAAAGAAATCTGCCTTCCTGTTCATGAGTAGATAGGTAGAACTCCAGCTGCTCTGCTGTGCTAGCTGAGTGCAACGCAAGACACCCATCAGCATAGCCTGCAAGGACGGTGACAGGAGCTCTGATAAGGCCCACGAACACTGCAGAAATCACGGCAGAGTTACACTCAATACAGAATCTCACTGCTTTATTTCAAGATTATTTAAAAAACCAAAGTCTGGTCAATCTCGAGTTAACTGCTGTTCATCCTCTCTAATCCAGTGCCTGTTAAACCAGAAGAAGAATACATCAACTTTCCTGTTTTAAGAAGAGAAGATGAAAAAGGTGAAAACCTCATGCTATAATACTGGTGTTTTGTTGGGGGAGGCAGGGTTTACCCAGCAGCAGTTACAATACTGGAATTGCTTACTTCTTGTGGAGAAATTAAAAGTAACCGAGATTCTTCTGAAAGGGTTAAAAAGCAAAATAAATAGCTTATCACCATTCTAATAGTAAAAATTCACCAGCCCGTTATGAAACCATGCAGGGGATGTTAGTAGTGACCAAGCTGCTGATGGCATGAATATTAATTCTTCTGCTGTGTATCTGTACCCAAAAAAAGCCATTAAGAATTCTGCTATTCTGCCTTTCAGGAGACAAGAGGGTGTGTGCCACCGTCTATTCAAAGGTGTTGAGCAGAGACTGAGTATAAGGTAAGATCTCTTTTGTGATTAACTTAATTGTGTATTTTGAAATAATCTTTCAGTCCCTGGGTGCGATAAGTATCACCAAGTCTACACAGAAAGAGATGGTATTGAGATACTAGTTTCCTGGCCTGATCATTTGGTACAGACAATATAGCTTGCTCTTTACCAACAACCCCAAAGTCATCACCTCTAAGGACTTCAACTTAAAAGAACAAGCAGAAAACAAACAGATAAAACCTGGAATTTAACAGAGACAAGTAACAACCCCATTAGACAAACAGTAGCTTATTGCCCAAATAACACCATAAACACAAACCGACTCAATGCAATCAGTCAGGTAAGATCCTACTGGACACAAGATATAGCCTGGCATTATGTGCATCTGCTGAATAACCAGAAAGGAATAAATGATATAAATTGTTCACCCAGACCCAAGTTCTGTATATTTAACAACCGTCCTGCAGTAGAAACTGAATTGTATAAAAATGTAAGATAATCAAAAGGCTCTAGTTAAGTATTTAATATATATATATATATATACATATATATCTCCAAAGTGTGCTGTCCTCTTAGGCACACACTAGAACATCCGTATGTGGCCTCTACCTGCTGTCACCTAGCAGCAAGGATGGCAATTTCTCAGTTCAACGTTACTTCAGCTCTCGGTGTAGGGAAAGGATGCTAAAATTAACTTTTGCGGATAGCTAATTCCAAAACAAATTCTGCATCCTGCAACAGGCTGTTTCATAGATGTTTCTGGGTTGTTTTCATGTTGTTCTATAGCCATTTACATTGAACTCCATGAGTTCAGTAAGGCACAGATCCATGCGATGCTAATCTTGCTTTACATCTGGCATTGTTACAAATAACCCGTTTATACTTAAATGAGCACCATGTCAATAGAAGAAACTTTTAAGGCAAAATCTTTTGTTTCATGGCATTGATGACCACCAGGGGCCACATGCATTGTTGCATACACCTTAAAGCACTTTATTAAAGTGACTTAAGCTATACACGCATTGGAAATTACTGAAGATCAGAATAGTTTCATATCTATGCAAACCTTCATATCTAACTACAACACTTCAGCATAGATAAATATGATCACAGATTAATCTTTTTCCACCATTTTCTAGGTACAGACATTTCTGTCCAAAAAAAGTGCTTGTCAAAAACTGTTTACAGTCTATTTCCTCTCTTACTCTTGATAACGTATTCTTGATTTTGATGTTTATTAAGGGCAAGATGAAGTACCTTAAATGCTGAGGAACTGATGCCATGTGATTAAAATACACCTCTACAAACAGATATTACAAAGACACTTGCTGATGTTATTGAAACATTCAGGATTTGGAGGTCTTTTTTATAAAACACCATTTTCCAGCAGAGACCATAACTGTGATGGCAACACATGAATTAAAGATTTTTAGGTTAAGACGGAGTATTTTCAATAAGATAGTAAAACTGGAGACATGACAGAGAATACAGTTAGCCCTGCTAATGAGGGACAAGTTTGTCTCTTCTCAAGGTAAGCTTGAAGACCCAGATGGTCTGGAGTCGATAGAAAAGAGATGCACTGCCAAATTTTACAGGTCCATGACACTGCAGAAGCCAGTTCAGGCACAGATGTTTAAGAAATTCCTTTTATTCAACACATATAAATTCACACATTTTTGGCTGATGTTACATACTTAGTTAAAAAGTCCGTCAGCCTAGAAATATGCATCATTTCCTTCATGGTTGTATCTCTGCTTCTCAGCTGGACCACTCCATTCTCTAGAGTGGCATCTGTTATCAAGATCATGAAGAGAACACCCATCTCGTCATACCTGCAGAGAAAAGAGCACTCCTGTTACTGCTTCTGGTGTATGAGAAATTCAGATAAGTTATGTACAAATGACCATCATCTAAGTATTTATTCCTGCAATACTGCACGAAGTCCAGGATGAAGACACCAGTCTCCTGTTGCCCTTCCTTGCTTTCCTGACTATGGTTCTTTAAATTATTTACTTTAGTACATAAAATATGTTATTTAGTGACCTACTACAAGAGTATTTTTGTAAAAGCAGAATATATCTTTCGGTCTTGCTTTGAAGACTACTGCACATGAACAAATAGTTGTATTAATTTTGTCTCAGCATAAGATATTCATCAATATGCTCAAAGTTCACTCCTGATCAACAAATCGCATATGATGCCCTGAAATGGAATAGCAGATTTATCTCCACAAATAATTCCATCACATACACTAATGGTTCCAGACTTGGAAGAATTTTTAAGCTCAAGGCTAGACACACAGTGCCATTTGAAATAGTACTTAAGAATGAAATGCAGAACCAGCCCAGATGCAAAAGTGGGGGTTGAGGGTAGGAAACTTTCTCGAGCTTGTAACTCATCTCAAGAAGTTTATTTTCAACTGGAGAGTCTCTAAAGGGCATTTCACAGTTCCAGAGAAATGACAACAACACGTGAAGGCTCAAACTTAATTTTAGAAATGAACTGACATTGCTTTCTGTAATAAAACTCATTGATTCCAGGTTCATGGTTTGGATACATGCCTTCAGCCACTTGGTTACTGCACTCAATGACTTCTTAATGAAAACAAGCTTATTTTCTCTAGTGCACAGAAAGTCATCTGTCACCTTCATAGTTTAACTTACAAAACACTGTTTCTCCTTACTTTGTATAAAGTTGTTCCAGAGATACCTGCATGGTTTCAAGGTAGCCCGGCCATACAGAAATTCTGTTTTCTGACAGTTCATTGAACAATCCTTGACAAACCTGTGTTTATTGAAAAACAGGAGTTAAAAGACAGATTTGAGGGCTTGAAGCTCTAAACAAACAAACCCATTAAAGCTCTAGTATGTGAGGTATTAGCATTCCCAGCTGGTGTTAATTCTCTGGATAAAATAACCTCAAATCAGAAAGCAGCCCAGCAAATACATCTCTGTTTCTATCTGAAAACATGCCAGTGCAAGGTCCCTCCCTTCTGTAGGGACCAGCTTAATGACTGACTGAAATAAAGACCTTTAGAAACCCCTTCTGAAGATGTGACCTGCATGTTAAGATAATCCTGAAAGATCAGGAAGCTGAGAGGGATTGTGTTATTTATTTTGCTTAATTTTTCATGGAGCAAGTATCAACTCTGTAACAGCAGTAAAAGCAACGTGTTAATGTACGGAAGGCATCTGCTACCCACTGTCTGCAGTACCCTCCAGCTACAACTCACAACCTGCTCTGTGAATGCTGTACAACCACAAACCTCCACGAACCAAAGCAGCAGCATGATTTTCCCCAGTGTAAAGAGGGTCTGAATGGTAACAGAATGTTATGTGGAGTCAGTGTTCAGAATTAAAATACTTTCTTACAACGTACCTGTCTCAGCTCTGTTGTTGGACCTTTTCCTACATCCAAGGCCACTTTAAGAGGTGCTAAACAAGGATGAAGCTTAAGTACCTAATAATATTACAAAAAGCAACAGATTACTATGTGTTTAGTGTGACATTCTGAACAGAATGAGGAAATAGTACTATTTTTTTCACTGAAATTAAGGTTCTAAACATGACTGAATTTTGTCACAGCACAAAATCCCGATTAGAAGCATGCTGTACGTTACATCTAAAATAGCACACAGGCCAGCTAGGTGAGCATGGCAGAAATTACTCCATTTTCTCTGAGCCATGGAAAAGACATAAAGCTTTCTTAGCGGAGCTCAGTCATCTTTAATGGAGGCAATGATCAGAAAGCCCAGCAGACAGTTATCATCCCACCTAACAGATCAGACTGATTTCTGGCTGTGTAAAAGCCAGAAAACCAGAGTAAAAGTGGGAAAAATGATGGTCCTCGGGGAATGCCCCACTACCACCTGGCACCCACTTTTCTGCTCTCCTCAGCAACCTTCAAATGCTGCTGGAAGAGATAAACTCCTCTCTCCGACCACAGCAGCATCATTCCAATCCCTCTTATCACCATCACATGCATGACAAGGGCCTATCTACTCATCAGAGGAAAAGAACGTGAAACAGGAAAGGTGACCTCAGAGAAAAGTTGCTTATGTGGGTGAGAAGGATGGCAGAGGTAGTCCCATGGGGCCAGCTTATTGATACCAGTGAGGAGTGTTCTGACTGTGCCTGTTTGGGAAGGGAGGATGTGATGTGGAAAAGGGAAGTATGCCCCCATCCTTGAATTTACTACACCGTCTGTGGGGTTTGTACTTAACCTTCCCTTACACTTTCTATAGAAAGTTACCTTTCTCTGTGCAATTTTCTTTTTTGTTAAAGGATTCTCAGCTAGCTGGAGCGAATCAAAGAGATATGCTAACACTCCTCGGTCCAGGTTTCCACTCATAGACAGAACATGGGGAATAACATTCTTCCTTCCATCTCGACCCTGAAGAGAAAAAACCCACAAAGCGATACCTCAAAGACTGTCCAAAAAAGCCTTTTGCTTACTTTAATGTCTAAGGAGGCACTGAGCTTGAGCACCTTTGCTACATGTAAAATACACTCAGAAGTGTTACCAGCCATCTTAAAAGCGTAACAGCAACCAGGTAAGACTGTAACACCAGGGGAAGCAGGAGATGGAGGAGGATGGGATTATGTCCTTGCCCTGCTGCCCTGATTGTAAATTTAAATCTAGGGCAAATGCACTTGAAACTGCATTTTCTTTTGCAGGTTTGTGGATTACTTCTGAGTGACCACAAGGATGTGTCCCCACATTAAGAAATCCCTATGTAACCATTTCTGCATAGAAATAGACTGCAAAACCAGGAGAGACAGGCAGAGTATCAACTGCGCTGCTGTTACATGCTAAGCAACTGGACCAGCAAAGAAACCATTTCTCTCACACAGTCATCTTTATCAGAAATAATTTTTAATAGAATAAAGCTTACAAGTAATTTTGAACTATCTCCTGGATACATCTGTAACAGTTCAGTATCTCCAAGGTTCTTCAATGTTTCTATTGTTTCTGTCCCCCAAGGAAATCTGTAATGCAAATTAAATCCTTTTCTTCCTCTTTCATCCTGAAAGTCGCTGCTGCTGAAGTTAGATGGGGCTACAGCAAACTGAGAAGACAGAAGAGGGGATCACTGCCAAATCGCTTTGCCATTTCACAGCGTCTTGATCTCAAATCATGTACAAACACAAAACATTTGCCTTTCTGCAAGTCAAGTTATAAACTACTTCACAGGTTTGTCATCAACTTAAGCAGTTTTGCAGTTTCCCAAGAAATACATGTATGTCAGACACAAAACCAGGCTAGCAACATAACGCTGAGCAGGGTGTTTATTCTCTCCCTCTTTAAGATACGGAGGAGCCAACCAAGATTCCCCCCTGCTACTGTTACCTTTCTCCACCACTGAAGCCTCTGGCGTAACCAGTAATCCAGCCACTGTCCTGTAGTTCTGGGAGAACTAAACCATGCAAGCAAAGACGTGGTCCTTTCGCCTATTCTTTAAACAATAGCAAGGTCAGCAAGTTAACTCCTTCAAAAATAACAGGGGAAAAAGCAAGAAACAGTATTCAAAAATAATTCAAGAGTGAAACAAGTACAAAATAGTTGGTTTAAAGCTGGAAAAGGATTAATCTCGTTCATACTCTACCTTACATGATTTTTGCTGTGTTGTTCGCTCTCTGGAACAGAGTGAAAGCACACTCCAGTTTGCGCAAGGCCACAAGGCAGTCTTCTGTTCACCAGCTCTAAGCAGCTAGCGTATTGTGCCAAGGCACCTGTCAAAGGACAAACCACCAAGTTTAGCAGCCGCAGGAAAAGCGTTTATTTTTTAATTCTTCTAAGAGTGAATGCAGCGCACACAACACACGCTGCTCACGTGTGCAGCCCCACTAGAGGCCGTTTCGCTGAGGCGAGCTGAGCAGTCTGCAGCCCAGTTCCTCCAAGTACCTTCACAACTGTGATTCTAACATGCCTTTTTCCCTAATTACAAGGGAAAGCACCCGATGTGCACCCCGCCATTCACACCGCTGAGCTCCTTGGAAAGAACCATGCCCAGCGCACTGACACAACTGTAAACTCCCCTTAAAAACAGCTGCATCGCTCGCTGCAAGAACCACGCGTGCGGTGACAGATAAAGCACCTACCGGGGAGCAGGCTCTCACGGAGCATCCCCGCTGCTCCCAGCACTTCTTCCAGCGACAGGCCGCCCTGCTCCTGGCTACAGCCCCTGCCCTGGAGGGCTTCGTGCAGGGTTTCAGAGCGCAGCAGCCGCAGGCCCTGCGAAGCGGCGGCGGCGGGCGGGCCGTGCAGCGGGGCATCCACCGCCAGCACCTGCTCGCGGAAGGGCAGCGCCGCTTCCCACCACTGGGACACGAGGTTTCCGCGCAGCGCCGCGCCCAGCGGCCCGAAGCCCCGGTGACAGCCGCTGAGGTAATCGCGCCATGGCAAACCCCGTGCAGAGCTCACGGGGACGGCTCGGTGGTGCTCTGGGGGGGCCGGAAGCAGCGTAGAGGGTGTCCGAGAGGAGCTCGGGTGAGCGCGGTACAGCCGTACCGCCCGCAGCAGCAGTGGAAATTTCCATGCGCGCTTCACCGCAGCGGTGCCGGGAGGTGGAGCTGCAGAGGAGCCATCCTGAGAGAGAGAGAGCTGATACAAAGCCCTGCGAGCCGGGATGATCCCAGCGGGAGCTCAGGACTGCACAACCCCGGCCCCAGCCTGGGCGGCCAGCGAGAGCTGAGACCCACGCCTTAGCAGGGCACTGGGTCAGCTGGAGGGGCTGCTGCTCCTTGGTAAGAGTTCACTGCTAAGGCAGATTCGCCATGATCTGCCAAGAGAATCCTGTCCAAGCTGTTCAGTAGAGCTTTTATCATTTTACGTGCAGATGTTGAGCACGCGCCTTACACTGAGGGAACACCTCTCTCAGGCGATGGATAGAAACACCCTTGGGCAAAAAAAAACAACGTCAAAACTTGGGCCTGTTTGAAGCTCAGGGCTGTGCCTTACTGGGTTAACAACCGGAGCAACAGCACTCCTGTCACATGCATCCCCTTCCTAGAAACAACTGTGGAGCCCAAGTTTAAACTCACTCCGGATTTTAAAGGTAACAGATCTGGCCATGTAATTACACTAAAGTGTAACAACAATCCACAACCTTGAGAAACCTCAAGAGTCACAAGATAAACCTTCTCCCCTGATCAAGCTTCTGAAGCGTTTTCAACTAGTTTTAACTCACAAGCATCTGCCTGGGTTTCACTTTAACAAACCTGGCTGCTGCTATTCCCCCTGTAAAGGGAGAAAAAGGCTATTAGGCAAGGCCATTTGCCTTTCCTTCACTATTAAAGACCTCCACCCTGTCTTAGTTCAAAAGCTAGTTTTCTACATGCACCCTTTCTATACTAAATCCCCTTTATACTCAAGGTTTTAGAACTAAGTTTTCAATGCATTTTGTTTCAGGAAACTCACCTGAAAACACTGCAGTTAACATGTCAAAGTTAAAACTTTAATTACCATCTACTTCCTCATCGTCCACACTGGGAATGCTGCAATGCAAATTAAAAATACCTTCCCCATAACCAACTGCACCTTTTGGACTCCAGAGCTGCAGGATTTCAGGCCTCCAAGGTGAAGCTCTCATAGCACTAGTGAATGCTCACCCAAGTACTGTCAGCTGATGGAACTTCAGAGAAGGCAGAAAGACCTGAGAGTAGACTGTGGTTAAGAACATCACAAGCTGAGCCTCAAAGGAAACTAAGTCACCAAAGACCTAAGCACAGAAGTCATCTGACTTAGGTTCAAAATAACCCAGACAGAATATAGCCTTGATTCTTGCAGTAAACTCTAGTTAGGCATTGTTAAACTTGAAACTGATAAACAAGTGAGAGGAAGGAACAGAGTATTCTAATACACTGTACTTGGAAGGATCATGTACTTTAACCCCAGGATCAAGTGCTGTTCCAATTATGCTCCTTGTCAAGGAAATCTGTTGCTTCACTTCAAGGTTTCAGAGCCATTTGCATGTACTCCAAGTCCTGAATAACTCCATGCAGGGTGTGTCCACGCAACAGCCCACTTCCCTCCCCCCCTTCCATAAAGAAATCACTGCTCAATACCAGTTTAAGTATAATTTGAAATTTTAATACTAAGATCTTCCCATTTCTCTGAAGCTCATAGTAAGCCTGCATGCTAACTCACAAGGCCCGACAGCTGTAGATACATCACACTCAAGCCTAGTCTGCACATATGCTCATGTGAAGGCGACAGTTACGGTGCTGCAATAGCTTCCTACGCTTGTAGCAGCTCATCAGCAACACCACAGCAAAGACTTTTAGCTATACCATTACTCCAGTGGATCTTCTCCAAAAACTGGCCCTACGCTAGCGAGATGAGGAAGAGCGCTGCTGTTTCCAAGGGATACTTAGAAGCCAGCTTTAGTTGTCTTCCCCATCAGAGCAGAGCCTGCCGTGCTAAGCAATCTAGCCCAATCAAGGCAAGGCTGGTTTTTGTATAAGCTTAAATGTTTTAATCAGACACAGTTGAGAAACCTTTCTAGAATTTCATATAAAAACATTTGACATTCCATTAATGTAAAGTTGTGCACATGTTGAGAAAATTGCCATCTGAAAGAAAATTCGGTCTTCAAATATCTTTATTGGAAGGCCATGCACTGCCTCCTGGTACTGTATTTCAAATCACTGTACATTGACTTGGAAAACACTGTCTGCATTTTCTAGTACAAAAAACTAAAAATTGTTTCAGGAATGTAGAGAAATATTCAACTTAAATAGCGAAAAAGTGCACCATAATTACTGCTGCACTGCAGTCATTTCTGCATTTCCCATTTCTTAAATAACTATCCTGGTTCTGATAACACACAATATAAAGAGCAATTATGAAAAAAAAAACAAAAAAAAATCTGAGACATTTAAATACACTAAGTTATTGAGAATAACTTGTGGGCATCGGGTAACCTATCATTGGAGCAGCACCAGTGGCGGGGTACGCGTACTGCTGCTGGTTCATGCCATTGTGCATATTTGCAATGTTACTCCCATACTGCTGCTCATAGCCATTCTGGTAAGCTCCTGCCGGGTTCCCAGCCCTGAAGCTGGCCTGCATGCCTGCAGCTGCAAAGCCATTCCCAAAAGGAGTTCCATTACTGAAACTCTGGGCGCTGTAGGCCCCATTTTGGGCTTTTGCTCCAAAGTCTCTCTTGCCTAGAGCACCATAGGTTCTCTCAAAGTTCTCCCTCTCTCTAAAACTACTAAATCCACCCCTTTTGCCCGCAGAATATCTGTCACGTCGATCACCTCGGGAACGACCTATTGAAAAAGACAAGACATAGTTATGTATCATAAAGGCTGCATTTTACCTACCACCACATGAGCTCACCTAGTAAGAGAAAATTCTTTCCCTGACCCAGCAAGGCAAACTTATTCTTCCCTGTTGCTAACTGGAGTCTTGGTTAGATGAAGAGTGTTTTCAAGTCTAACCTACAAGGAGAGTCATCTACTCTCTCCTGTAACACAAGTGGCATCAAGGCAAAGTCACCTTCATCTTGCCAAGAGGACACTTACATCCACCTTCCTCAGCTGTCAAGAGGCCACAAAACAAAGCCCTATTTTGCATTCTGTTTCAGAGCAAGAAGTGCATCACTGGCAGCATTAACCACAGGTGTGTCACAGGACATGTGGGGAGCATTCCATTGAGGGGACTGTTGGGTTTTGTTACTGGTGTTAATAAATACCTTTTCAGGTCACCATAACTGGTAGCTAAACCACCTTTCATATCCATTTTGGAGAAGCTGGATGTGGAATTTAGGCTTCCACTTTGTTCTGAGAGAAAAAGCTATGCACTTTGGTCAAGAACAGTACTTACCTGAACCTCTGTCTTCAATGAGCTGAAGCAATTTGGGGTTGATGGCTTGATTAGCCTCCCGAAGCACAGAGATGAGGTCATTTACTTGCTTAATATTGTTAGGAGTAAAGAATGTGTATGCTGTGCCTGTTTTGGTACTGCGGGCAGTTCGTCCAATTCGGTGGATATAGTCCTCTGAGGAGTTAGGGTAGTCATAATTGATGACAAATTTCACATCTTCCACATCTGTAAAGTGTTGCAGTGTGGCAAAAAGCAAGGTACGAGGTTTTGCACACCACAACAGCCAAATCGAAGATAAACATTAGACAATTGTACTTTAAAGGAAATAATGGCTGCAAAGAACAGTGTTAGAGTCATCCATTTCTGCATGAGTATTGTGGAAGAGAAAGTTATGCACACTCCGTCTGTTCCCGGCTTATCACCCACCCTGTGATCCAAAACCTTACCATAAGGAGTATGCATTTGCTTGTCATTCCCAACTCAAGAGTCCCCTTTACAAATCATCAAGTGACATCTGAATGCTTCTTGCAGTAGGGCCACTAAAGCTCACAGCAGCCTCTTCATGTGCTCATTTGAGGACCTTAGAGTAAAAACATACAAGGTCCTTCACATACACACTCATTAGAAGCTCAAAAAAAAGGGGCCACAGTGCTCGTCTTGCCAAGACCTTTGAACCGCAGCTGCAAGAAAAACATACCTGTCCCCCCAAAGTCACCAAGTTGTTTTTATGCACTGTGTCTCGTCTAGGCAAGCGCTGCCAAGAAGCCAGGGTTCACTTGAGAATGTGTCTCTCTCTGGCAGGTCTCGACATGACGACTATGTATAGGTGGAGGAACTCCAACTTTGGAAGGCATCTGAAAAGCCTTCGCTTTCCTGCCCCACTTGCTAAAGTGAGAGGTGGGCTTTTTCTCAGATTTCATGTGCCAGTACTCACCAATTTGTACAAGGCTTTAGTGCATTTTAAAGCTGCTCTCTCCATTTCATGGTTGAAAAAAAAAATTTTCATTGAAGTTTGAAATTATTTTCTTCGACATTTCAGCAAACTCACTGAAATTCAAAGACCCACAGATCACAGCAGACACTATGCACAAAACTAACAGTACTGCACCATGGCAAATCATGCAAAGCATGGAGAGAAGAGAAATACCAGGGCAAAGTGAACTGTGAATGAAACTGCTTATTTCATGAGAGAACAGTTTATGGGGTAGTACTTTAAAGGATGGTCTTTGCCTTTTGAAGATTACTGGCACACAATGCTCTCAGCTTTCACCTCTCTATTTGACTGGAAGCAGCCAGCCGATCACTTCCACTAGTCCTCCATCCCCCTCGAGTCCTCCGATTGTCATGCCTAGGCCTTGCCACAAAGACTGCACCTTTATGTGAAGAAAACTTAGAAAAATGCAGAGGTTAAAGAAAGCAATAGACTTTCTTTAAATAGCTTTGGGCAACTGGCATTACGAGTTGTACTAACCTAGACCTCTGGATGCAACATCTGTAGCAATCAGGATTGGTGCCTTTCCATGTTTGAATTCTGTAACACAAGCAACATGAGCTACTCAGTTTCTTCACGAGGTAACACAGGCCACACACCCTTCCAGTAACTGCTGAAGCACTCACCATTTAGAACCCAGTCCCGCTCCTGCTGACTTTTATCACCATGAATACCCATTGCTGGCCACCTGCAAGTGAGAACTTTATTGACACAACCCGATTCCTCTAGTGGCTTTATTAGGCAAAAGACAGGGTTACATGGTGTCACCGATTTGACAGTTCTGACACCACAGTTAAGTGGTCGCCCATGAAGAATCAAGAGCAGACCCTGGGGTGGCCCTCAAGTTCCAGCTGTTACTCACCCATCTCTCCTCATTTTCCTGGTAAGATCATCACACCGTCTTTTGGTTTCCACAAAGACAATTGTTTTGTTTTCCTTCTCGCTCATTATTTCTTCCATCAAACGAATAAGCCTGTTGTAAAGACATGCTGGTAAGAGCTGGGATTGATTTGTAGCACACCATTTTAGCAGTCCCATTTTCTACTACTTTTAGTGGTCTCAGACTGCTGTCAAAAATCCACGTAATCAAATTAATTTCATAATTCATGAACTAAACCCAGTAAAACCACCACCAAACGCTTTGCCTCCAGTGACTTACTTGTCATCTTTCTCCACATCGTGACACACATCCACAATCTGAAGAATGTTGTGGTTTGCACTAAGCTCTAATGCACCAATGTTGATGTGTACATATTCTTTCAAGAAGTCTTCAGCCAGCTGCCGCACCTCCTTTGGCCATGTGGCACTCCACATCAGAGTCTGCCTGTCAGGCTGCGGGAGGAGATTACATCAGTACAACATCAACAGATATACTCAAATGCCCAACCAAACAATACTGACCCAGGCAAGCCTGAAAGTTAATTGCACAGTCCTCACTTTGACGAGGGCTGTGGCATTTTTGTCTGCAGCAGTGAGAAATGAATGAGCCATTTATACTCACTCTTATCTGATCCACAATTTTTCTGATCTGAGGTTCAAATCCCATGTCAAGCATCCTGTCAGCTTCATCAAGGACAAGGTAAGTACACCTCCTGAGATTGGTCTTTCCAGCTTCTAAGAAGTCTATAAGTCTTCCAGGTGTTGCAATGCATATTTCCACACCTAAAAACCAAGCAATCAAGTCAGCTCAAGTAGTTTTCATTTCAGCCTCATGCAGAGATGCATCAAGGCTCATCCATACCTCTTTCCAAGTCACGAATTTGTGGTCC